ATGTTTAAGTCTTTAATCCATCTGGAGTTAATTTTAGTGTAAGGTGTCAGGAAGGGGTCCAGTTTCTGCTTTCTGCACATGGCTAGCCAGTTTTCCCAACACCATTTGTTAAACATGGAATCCTTGCCCCATTGCTTGTTTTTGTCAGGTTTATCAAAGATTGTATAGTTGTATGTATGTTGTGTTGCCTCCGGTGCCTCTGTTTTGTTCCATTGGTCTATATCTCTGTTTGGGTACCAGTACCATGCTGTTTTGATTACTGTAGCCTTGTAGTATAGCTTGAAATCTGGTAGTGTGATGCCCCCCGCTGTGTTCTTTTTGCTTAGAATTGACTTGGCTATGCGGGCTCTCTTTTGGTTCCATATGAAGTTCATGGTGGTTTTCTCCAGTTCTGTGAAGAAAGTCAATGGTAGCTTGATGGCGATAGCGTTGATTCTCTAAATTACTTTGGGCAGTATAGCCATTTTCACGATATTAATACTTCCTAACCATGAACATGGAATGTTTCTCCATCTGTTTGTGTCCTCTCTGATTTCGTTGAGCAGTGGTTTGTAGTTCTCCTTGAAGAGGTCCCTTACGTTCCTTGTGAGTTGTATTCCAAGGTATTTTATTCTTTTTGTAGCAATTGCGAATGGCAGTTCGCTCTTGATTTGGCTTTCTTTAAGTCTGTTATTGGTGCAGACGAATGCTTGTGATTTTTGCACATTGATTTTATATCCTGAGACTTTGCTGAAGTTGTTTATCAGTTTCAGGAGTTTTTGGGCTGAGGCGATGGGGTCTTCTAGGTATACTATCATGTCGTCTGCAAATAGAGACAATTTGGCTTCCACCTTTCCTATTTGAATACCCTTTATTTCTTTTTCTTGCCTGATTGCTCTGGCTAGAACTTCCAGTACTATATTGAATAGGAGTGGTGAGAGAGGGCATCCTTGTCTAGTACCAGATTTCAAAGGGAATGCTTCCAGTTTTTTCCCATTCAGTATGATATTGGCTGTTGGTTTGTTGTAAATAGCTTTTATTACTTTGAGATACGTTCCATCGATACCGAGTTTATTGAGGGTTTTTAGCATAAAGGGCTGTTGAATTTTGTCAAATGCCTTCTCTGCGTCAATTGAGATAATCATGTGGTTTTTGTTTTTGGTTCTGTTTATGTGGTGAATTACGTTGATAGACTTGCGTATGTTGAACCAGCCTTGCATCCCTGGGATGAATCCTACTTGATCATGATGAATAAGTTTTTTGAATTGCTGTTGCAATCGGCTTGCCAATATTTTATTGAAGATTTTTGCATCTATGTTCATCATGGATATTGGCCTGAAGTTTTCTTTTCTCGTTGGGTCTCTGCCGGGTTTTGGTATCAGGATGATGTTGGTCTCGTAAAATGATTTGTGAAGGATTCCCTCTTTTTGGATTGTTTGAAATAGTTTTAGAAGGAATGGTACCAGCTCCTCCTTGTGTGTCTGGTAGAATTCGGCTGTGAACCCATCTGGACCTGGGCTTTTTTTGTGAGGTAGGCTCTTAATTGCTGCCTCAACTTCAGACCTTGTTATTGGTCTATTCATAGTTTCAGCTTCCTCCTGGTTTAGGCTTGGGAGGACACAGGAGTCCAGGAATTTATCCATTTCTTTCAGGTTTACTAGTTTATGTGCATAGAGTTGTTTGTAATATTCTCTGATGATGGTTTGAATTTCTGTGGAATCTGTGGTGATTTCCCCTTGATCATTTTTTATTGCATCTATTTGGTTGTTCTCTCTTTTATTTTTAATCAATCTGGCTAGTGGTCTGTCTATTTTGTTGATCTTTTCAAAAAACCAGCTCTTGGATTTATTGATTTTTTGAAGGGTTTTTCGTGTCTCAATCTCCTTCAGTTCAGCTCTGATCTTAGTAATTTCTTGTCTTCTGCTGGGTTTTGAGTTTTTTTGATCTTGCTCCTCTAGCTCTTTCAATTTTGACGATAGGGTGTCAATTTTGGATCTCTCCATTCTCCTCATATGGGCACTTATTGCTATATACTTTCCTCTAGAGACTGCTTTAAATGTGTCCCAGAGGTTCTGGCACGTTGTGTCTTCATTCTCGTTGGTTTCAAAGAACTTCTTTATTTCTGCCTTCATTTCGTTGTTTACCCAGTCAACATTCAAGAGCCAGTTGTTCAGTTTCCATGAAGCTGTGCGGTTCTGGGTTGGTTTCTGAATTCTGAGTTCTAACTTGATTGCACTATGGTCTGAGAGGCTGTTTGTTATGATTTCAGTTGTTTTGCATTTGCTGAGCAGTGCTTTACTTCCAATTATGTGGTCAATTTTAGAGTAGGTGTGATGTGGTGCTGAGAAGAATGTGTATTCTGTGGATTTGGGGTGGAGAGTTCTGTAAATGTCCACCAGGTTTGCTTGCTCCAGGTCTGAGTTCAAGCCCTGGGTATCCTTGTTCATTTTCTGTCTGGTTGATCTGTCTAGTATTGACAGTGGAGTGTTAAAGTCTCCCACTATTATTGTGTGGGAGTCTAAGTCCTTCTGTAAGTCATTAAGAACTTGCCTTATGTATCTGGGTGCTCCTGTGTTGGGTCCATATATGTTTAGGATCGTTAGCTGTTCTTGTTGTATCGATCCTTTTACCATTATGTAATGGCCTTCTTTGTCTCTTTTGATCTTTGTTGCTTTAAAGTCAGAGATGAGAATTGCAACTCCTGCTTTTTTTTGCTTTCCATTAGCTTGGTAAATCTTCCTCCATCCCTTTATTTTGAGCCTTTGTGTATCCTTGCATGTGAGATGGGTTTCCTGGATACAGCACACTGATGGGTTTTGGATTTTTATCCAATTTGCCAGTCTACACATTGTTTTTCTTAGCACATGGATCATTCTCCAGGATAAACCATAGGTTAAGTCACAAAACAAGTCTTAAAACATTCAAAAAAATTGAAATAATGTCAAGTATCTTTTCTTACTGCAATGAAATAAAACTAGAAATTACGAACAAGAGGAATTGTGGAAACTATACAGATACATGGAAATTAAACAATATGCTCCTGAATGACCAGTGAATGTAGAAATTAAGAAGAAAATTGAAAAGTTTATTGAAATAAATAATAATGCAAACACAACATATGCCAACCTATGGGATACAGCAAAAGCAGTACTAAGAGGGAAAGTTAGAGCTATAAGTGCCTACATCAAAAAAGAGAGAAAGTTCCAAATAAGCAATTTAATGATGCATTTCAAAAAACTAGAAAAGCAAGAGCAATCCAAACCAAAAAGTAGTAAGGGGGGGAAAAAAATAAAGGTTGGAGCAGAAATAAATGAAATGGAAATGAATAAAACAATACTAAAGATTAAGAAAAAGTTGATTTTTTTGAAAAGTTAAATCAATGCATCTTTAGTCAGACTAAGAAAAAAAGAAGATATGAATAAATAAGAAATGAGAAAGGAGACATTACAACTGACACTGCACAAAAAAATCATTAGTGGCTGCTGTGAGCAACTATATGCCAAAAATTGGAACATATAGAAGAAATTGACAAATTCCTAGACACATACAACCTAACAAGATTGAACCAGGAAGAAATCCAAAACCTGAACAGACCAATAACCGGCAGCAACATTGAAGCTGTAATAAAAAGTCTCCCTGTAAAGAAAAGCCTGGGACCCAATGGCTTCACTGCTGAATTCTACCGCATATTTCAAGAATCCTACTCAAACTATTTTGAAAAATAGAGGATGAAGGAACACTTCCAAAGTTGTTCTACAATGCCAGTATGACCCTGACACCAAAAACAGATGAAGACACATCAAAAAAAGAAAACTACAGGTCAATATCTCTGATGAATGTTGATGGAGAAATCTGCCTTTCCCACACTGCCAAATACTGGCAAAGCAAATTCAACAATATATTAGAAAGATCATTCATCATGACCAAGTAGGATTTTTTCCCTAGGATGAAAGGATAGTTCAACATATGCAAACCAATCAATGTGATACATCATATCAATAAATGAAGGATAAAAACCATATGATAATTTCAATTGGTGCTGAAATAGTGATACAATCCAACATCTCTTCATAATAAAAGGATAAAAAACTGGGTTGAGAAGGAACATAGCTCAATATAATAAAAGCTATACACGACATACCCATAGCCATGCAATCCTTACCAAAATGTTAATGGCAATCTTCACACAAATAGAAAAGAAAATCCTAAAATTTATATGGAACCTCAAAAGACCCAGAATAGTCAACGCTATCCTAAGCAAAATAATAAAACTGGAGGAGTCACACTACCTGACTTCACATTATACTAGTGAGCTATAATAAGCAAAATAGCATGGAACTGGCACAAAAACAGACACATAGACCAATGGAACAGACTCTAGAATCCAAAAATAAATCCAGACAACTAGGGTGAATTCATTTTTGACAAAAATGTCAAGAACATACATTGGTGGGGGAAAGACAATCTCTTCAATACATGGTGCTCACAAAACTCGATATTCATATGCAGAAGAATGAAACTAGACCTCTATCTCTACACACACACACACACACACACACACACACACACACACACACATACTGGATTAAAGACTTAAATCTAATACCTCAAACTATGAAGCTAATATCATAAACTATTAGGAAAAATCTCCAGGACATTGGTCTGGGCAAAAATTTCTAGAGTAGTACCCCATAAACACAGGTATCCAAAGCAATAATGGGCAAATGAAATCACATCAAGTTAAAAAGCTTCTGCATAGCAAAGGAAACAACTAACGAGGTAAAGAGACAACCCACAGAGTGAGAGAAAATATTTGCAAACTACCCATCTGACAAGGGATTAATAATAGAATATATGAGGAGCTCAAATAACTCTATAGGATAAAGTCTAATAATCTGATTTTAAAACTGGGCAGAAGATTTGAATAGATATTCTCAAAGGAAGACATACAAATGGCAAACAGGCATAGGAAAAGGTGCTCAACATTATTGACCATCAGAGTAATGCAAAGCAAAACTTACCCCAGTTAAAATGGCTCATATGCAAAGGACAGGCAATTCTCAAAAAAGTATTTCTTTATTAAATAAAGAAACTCCATCAAATCCTTGTAGTTCACCTTAAAAACGAGTACTAGATTCTTCCTTGCATGGTCCCATTTTTGTTCTCCTCTCTGAAATGGCTCCAAATTTCACCTTTTGAAAAAGCATGAACTAGTTAAAAACTGGTTTAGCTAGCCAAACAAATGCCATTAAATAAAAGGATATCAGTAAAGAGCTGTTTTTTCCTCCCAGATAAGAGATTTAAAATGTACTGGGTATCTTTGGACAAGTGCCTGAAATACTTCTCCACCTTACCTAGCTCCTATTAGCCCCACCTTTAAAAAGTGGCCGAGTCCATCCCGACTGGACCCCAGAGAAGCCTATGAGCACAGAGGGCAGCTTTGGCTTCTGGACCTTGCTCTGGAGTCACTGGCTTGTACCATCCATGGCAGGGTCTCCATCCTAGGGTCTGGGGGGTGTTAACTGGGAAAAGGGGGGATGGGCCATATGGGGAGGAAAGGAAGAAGGAGGAGTTAAGATCTTTTGGAGGCTTTAATCCTAGTAATCAGTTGAAGAATTGGCAGTTTTTAGCATGTCTAGAATCCAATTTTAGGTTATGTGTCACTGGAAATCCAAAAAATACAGAAAACACCTTACTGCCCATGAACATCTAGCTGAGGAGGTAAGACATGCACAGCTGAGAGAGAGGACAGGTGAGGCTTTGGCCACTTGCGATTTGGGGTCAGAACTGCTCCATGGTGTGGATGGCATTGGAAAGAATTGGCTCACTTAAGAGTGTTTTAGGTAATGCATTCTCTGCTGTGTCGGGTCTGCAGTGTGTGTTCAGCAATTTTACTTAACACTCTACTAGGTAAAATAGCAGACTCCTGGATAGATCAGCACAGCCTTACAATTCTGTACTTTTTTTTTGAGACGGAGTTTCGCTCTTGTTAGGCTGGAGTGCAATGGCGTGATCTCGGCTCACCGCAACCTCCGCCTCCTGGGTTCAAGCAATTCTCCTGCCTCAGCCTCCCGAGTAGCTGGGACCACAGGCGAGTGCCACCGTGCCCAGCTAATTTTTGTATTTTTAGTAGAGATGGGGTTTCACCATGTTGACCAGGATGGTCTCGATCTCTTGACCTTGTGATCCACCCGCCTCGGCCTCCCAAAGTGCTGGGATTATAGGGGTGAGCCACAGCGCCCGGCCCTACAATTCTGTACTTTAAGGGCAATTTGATTTTGCCATGGCTTCTCTCACACTTGTCTCTATGTTAAAGGTTGGAGAAAGGACAGAGTGAAAGGTATTCTCCTTCAATGCTCCAATTACACATAAGGGGTAGTGTTTCTATTTCCTGCTCCCCTGCCTATATCATAGATAAGAAAAGTGAACCTCAGAGAGGTTTTGTTAGTTGCTCGAGGTCACCCAGCCACTGACTCTGCCTCGTCCCAAGGTCTGTGCTTGCTTGGTTATTACAAAGAGCCTGAGAGGCTTGAGTGTTTGGAAGCAGAAGCAGCGGGACAAGCCCAGCTCTGAGGCAGATATGGGTAGGGAGGTGGGGTCAGTTTAGGCCAAGACCTGTGGGAGGAGCCGGGAACTGAGGGGCTCAGGACTCTGTAGATTATTACTAATCAAATAATCAATATTCTGGTGAAATAAATAGGAGAAATCCAAGGACAGGTGAATTTCTATTTTGTTTACTGCTCCCTGACGGTCCAACAGCTTTGCTAGGGCTCAGTCACTGTCTCCAGCTGAAGTCAGTTTCCCTTGATCTTACTAATGTTGATCTTGCAGAGTTGTAAGTTACCCTTATCACTATGAAGAGGGGCTGCAGCCAGCAGAGCTCATTATGGTAGGCAGTGGCTCACTGAATCCAGCACACATCCTGTTTTGAATTCCACATAGACTCAATTATGGGAGGCGTTCAAGGGAGCCTTATTTTGGGGGTGGCCTTATTCTTTTTCCTTATGCTGGGCATAAGCAGAAGCATCTCTTAGTGTGAGCATCCTGCAGGCCACTGGGAAGGTTTACAGCTTTTCCCACACTTCACAGAGCACTGCTGCTTACAGTATAATTTCTTTTTTAATATCCATAACAAGACTGCAAATTAGGCATGAATTAGGCATGAATGACAATGTTGCCACATCTTAGGATGAGCAAAGGAAGGTCCCAAGAATGGAAGCTTTCTCCGGAGTTCACAGCTAGGGAGGCATGAAGCCAGGGCTGGAGTGTTGTGGTTGGAAATGAGTGTGATGCCCGCCTCCCTGCATAGCCTCACCCCGGCTGCCACCTTCCATCCACTCACATCTCCTGTCCTCTGAGCTCCACTGCTCATGGCAGCCTTCCTCCACGGCACCTTCCCACCTGTGTGACCCACCTGGACCTTTCCCTGCCATGCTATGCCACTCACACAAATACTTGCTGCCCCCAGGTTTTGGTGCTGGGATGCCCAGTAGGTTGATAGTCTCCATGGTTTGCGCGTGTTGTTTTCCCACCAAGCCAGGCTCTGCGTCTTACCCATGCTGCTAGCATGGTGCTTGGCACGCACATATTTCGAGTTGAGAACTTGCTTTAAAACCACCTTCCAAATTTTTGTGCCCTGGCAACTCATAGTCAGAGAACAGAGAAGTTAAGACTTTAAGACTCCACCACACTTTAAGGCCCACTAGGTGGGGTCTGCACCAGCACTGGCCTGTCTGCTCACATGTCTCCCTGGGCCTGCCCATGTCCCTCCTCACTTCTCACACTCAGCACTGTGTCCTTGCCCAAGTGCAGATTCTCCTCCACTGCCCCTGCCCCCATCCCAAAGCAGCCCGGGATTGCTGCCTGTCTATGTGCCTGTAGCTCTTCATTCTTATTTCTACGATGGCATTATTCACATGAAAACCCTGCAGATGGATCTGAGTTCCTTAGGATAAGACCTGCCCTGGTCATGTCCATAAACCTGGCCCCTGCAGACAACCTGGCCCACAGCAAATATATTTGTACAATGAAGGCAAGGAATGCAGCTTACACTGACAAGAAAGCTCTCATTGAAATTTATTAGACACTAAGGATTCTGTGGGAAACACACATGGAATCATTACCAAGGTAAAGAATAGGATGGGTTTTTGTTTTGTTTTGTTTTTAAACAGATGTCTTAAGTTGCTCTGAGGCAGCGAGAGGGCAATTTGCTGTTGGAGCAAAAACTTCCTCTGCCAGAGATTCACGATCCACTGAGGTCAAGATGGCTTTGCAGCCATCTACCCCATTGCCCATGTTCATGCCCTCCTCCTCCCCTGCTGTGGCCTAAGCAGGATCCAAAGGCAGGGTGAGGGCTCCTTTCTCCCTGCTCCCACAGCTCTTTGTAGGTGTGTGTCCTGTCTGGAAGCCAGTGTGAACTGCTGTCTCAGCGTGCTGTGTCCTCAGCACTGGGGCTCCAGGAGGCTCCACTCTGACTTAGGCTTGCAACAGTGCCCAGCACGTGAGGGTTCAGTACAGTTTGATCCAGGTGTGAATGTGTGAGCAGAGCCTGTGGCCATGGCCTCACTCCCACTCTAGGGATGGGGTGTGGAGGGGATATGAGGGACGCTTCTCCTTCCAGTCTGCTCAAGGCTGTCTGCTCAGCACCCCTTTGAACCCCCTTCCCATTCCTATCCCTTTTGGGCTTTTTGCATGGGTGTGTATATGTGTGTTTACAAGTGTGTGCACATGTATGTGTGTGTGTATGAGACAGTGTGTGTGTAAGTGAAGAATGGGGACAGTTATCTGAAAGCAGCATAGGCAAACTGAAATATGAAAAAAAAGTGTTTTATCGAAAGCCTGGGGCCTCCTTTCTAGGTAACATGTGCCCCCCTGACAGAGCCAGCCAAGAAAAGGTGTGAGCCCCTCATGACGGCAATGACTGCATGCTTTTCAGGAGTAAGTGATAATCAGCATGCTTTCAGTTCTTGTTTACTCTGCACCCCATGTTGCTGCCTAGGAAGCTGGAGGACGACTGAGCTAGTGATTGAGAAAGACACAGAAAGTGTGCGCGCATCACCCAGAAATGTAACATCACACATGTTGATGGTGGAGTTGCTTAGAAACCAATGCTTGAGGTGCAGGAAGCCATTGCATGCCCACGTCTTTGTGACACTAAACGCCCTGCACTCTTTTGCCTAGAAAAGCTGGTCAGATGAAGGGGCAAGCTCCAGAAGCAATAATAGAAGCACGATTTGTTTCACCCCTAATTCCATTACGAAAAACTGGCTTTATTCCTTGAATAGAGTTCAATGACAATTTGAAGAGTACTAGAGAAGCTAATAAATTAGTTAATAGGAAAGATGTTTAAGCTAGACAAAAAGGTAGCAGACTTCATTGTAATAGTTTAATTAGAAAAATAATAAACTTCCTTAGGAAGGATGAAAGCCCATAATTAAAAAGATGAGCTAGTAGGTGGAATTCTGAACGTTACCTCTTCGCAGATTTGTTCCTAGCTGCTCTGTTCATGGTCCAAAAGCACTTAACAAGCTGAGGAATTAGTGGAAAATGTACTTACCTTCAGCTCCGAAGCGGGAACTTTCTGGCCAAAATGACTGAGAAGGAATGAGCTCTGAGAGAAAAGCAAGCAAATGGACCTTGGGCCAGGAAGGGCCGGAACACATGCATCACAGGGGGAGACAGCTAGATTGTTATCATTACCTTGAATAAATGTCATCCCACGTGAGCTGCATATTTCTGGTAATGTGAAGTTAGAGCAAAGGAAAGACACAGGCAGATGAAGACACAATTTCCATGAGCTCAGCTAGTCAAGGTTGCTTGCAGTGTTCATGGCAATGTTTACAGCAGATTACGGAATTGTAATCTTGCTCTTTTTAAATGCCACTTAAGAGATGTATTTAGTTCTAAAAATAACTAAGGAATTAAACAAATCGGGTTTTTGAAAACATGGTTTTGGAAGAGTTTGTTTTAAAACTTGCAGAAAACTTCTCAAGACGTCTTGCAAACCTTTGGCTCGTTAGTCTCATTGAGAAGGGAATAGATCCGTTATCCACATTTCACAAGACTGAACAATAAGCCTGAGGGAACTGTGTGCTCAAGTGCACATGTGACGCATGGGCCCAGACCGGAAAAACCCTGTGTTCTGCCAATGCTTCTCTGTCCAAAAACTTCATAGAAATTGCCATAGATAAGAGCCATCATTCAAAGCAAAATTCTTCCATTTTAGGGTGCAATACTGAGTGTTTTCTGCTTGCCGGGGCCTACAGGAAAGGGCCACTGCTAGTGTCAGTCACAGCCACGGGAATGTTGAAGTGTGGAGTTGGCCCAAGTTTTGGGATGGTCCTGGGTTTTGGGGCTGGGGACAAACCAGTGGCTGTTTCTGAAATGTGAGCTTCAGCCCAAGCTAAAATATGTTCACATGTGGGTGGTCTGGAAAGGACTGAGGAGAGAGGCCTGAGTTGAATTTGCCAGGCGGTTAAACACAGTTTTATAAAGTGGTTTTCCCTGGCCTGTCACTGAGGCGAAGTGTGTTGTTCTCAGGAACTCACGGACCCAGGGTCATGCCAGGCTTCGACTGTTTCTGAGTAGGTGTGTGCCCTGCAACATGCCCTGCAGCTCAGACCAGCGTGTTCCACACGCCTCTTTCCCCTTCCCAGAGTCATGTAGTTTAGGTAACACAGAAAAGCAAGGCATTGCCTCCAGAAAGCTACTGTATTATCTGGAAAAGTAGAGACAACTTGCCCTTAGCCCTTGAACTTACAGAAGCAGAGGCCCTTTGTGGGAGATCTGTGGATCTCATTAGCTGGTCGGGAAAACTGGTGGGCAGCCCCGGGGAGTGGGACATCAGGTAGGCTGCAGATGGTGGGAACACTGCCTGGAGAAGGTGAGCCTCAACCAGTCCTCTGTGTGGGACCTGGGACACTCTGGGAGGGACAGAGAGAGACTTCCAGCAGGTGGAAGGTTGCCTAGGGGTTTGGCTAAGCCCTGCAAAGAGAATAGCTATTGCTATTTTATTCTTCCATTTTGGGGGCTCATCTCTCTCCAATTTTTAGAGAAAAGAGGGCAAAAATCTCTTGGGAGAAGCAGAGTAGGAATGACAAAGGATTCAGAGCCAGAAGACTTGGGGTCAGAGTTCTGATGCCAGGCCTCTAGGACTCCACTGCCTTGTGTAAAGTGGGCTGTTGTGAAGATTGAGATCAGGTTTGTAAGAGTGCTCAGGGAAATGTCAAATCATATACCAATACCTGTGGTTTTATTATAACCTGGTCCAAACACTTTTGAAATAATGGTCTTTTAAAAGAAATATCTTTGCTATAGGGAAACCCATTCAGCTGGTGAACATTGAAAAGGAAACTTGTAAGCAGAGATGCTGGCAGATGAACTCTGATGACCATGTTACAGCTGTGCTACCATTCCATCACCAGCCCAGTCTCTCTCTCACCCCAAGAGACAAGATGGAAAAGGGGAATTTTAGGGAGCATTCAAAGGGCTCCTGTATGAACCCTTTTTTCTCTTCTCATAGAATTGTATGCAACTTGGTCACTTTCACAACTATCACTTCCTCCTCAGTGCTGTCTCTCTCTCAGAAAAGCTAAAGAGGCAGAGACAGGATGAGAGGGTGGAGGAGGCTTGGGAGGCAGAGGAAATGGGAGGGAATTGGAATGGGGCAGCAGAAAGGGACAGGAAGAAGAGACAGGGCCAGGGATCTGTCTTTTGTGTTTGCAGGACTACACCATTCTGACACAGAAAATGCTGGGGTTGGAAGGTAACTCACAAATATCTTTGCTGAAATCTGCAGTTGAAGCAATGGTAATAATCCACACTGGGTTTCCTGCATGCTAGCCATGGTGAATGTTCTCAGTGCCGTACATATGTCAGCATTTACTCGTCACAGCACATGTGTGAAGTCACCTTACAGACCCCATTTACAGATGGGGATCTGAGCTGTTCAGTAGCTCTGCAGAGGCTATGTTAGCACTTAAGATTTCCCAGTAAGAACGATGAGGAGTCAAGACTAGAATGACATGACCTGATTCAGGCTTTAAAGGATCCTCTCCACAAAGAATGGGTTATAGGGGCCAGAGGGTAGACGGGACAGCGGTAGAGCTGGGTGCCTGGTGGGAGCTGCTTGAGGAGGGAATGGGAAGTGAGAAGACAGCAAGCATGGACAAGCTTTTATAAAATATTTATATTTAATTTTTTTTTTTTTTTTGAGATGGAGTTTTGCTGTTGTTACCCAGACTGGAGTGCAATGGCACGATCTCGGCTCACTGCAACCTCTGCCTTATGGGTTCAAGCAATTCTCCTGCCTCAGCCTCCCGAGTAGTTGGGACTACAGGGGCGTACCACCATGCCCAGCTAATTTTTGTATTTTTAATAGAGACGGGGTTTCACCTTGTTGACCAGGATGGTCTTGATCTCTTGACCTCGTGATCCACCCGCCTTGGCCTCCTGAAGGGCTGGGATTATAGGCGTGAGCCACTGTGCCCGCCCCTATATTTAATTTTTAAATTAATTTTGTGTATATTTAGGGTATACATGATATTTTGTGTGTACACTCACAATGAACAGATGACTATAGCCAATCTACCAAACATACCCATCTGCTCACAGTTGCCTGTCTGTGTGTGCAGTGAGAACACTTAAGATCTGCTCTCTTCACACATTTCAAATATAGGATTAGCCAGTCACCATGCTGTACCTCCGGCCTCCAGAACTTACTCCTTCTGCATCACTGAAACCTCATGCCCTTTGACCAGCATTGCCCCAGGTCCCCACCCCAGGCCGTAGCAGCCACCCTTCTCCTCTCTTCCTAATGGTTTGACTTTTTAATTATTCTACATAGAAGTGAGATCAAGACATGGTGAGAGCTTTCAGTTTTGATGTGAGAAAATGCAGAGTGGGAGTGCATAAGGAATATTTTGATGTGAGAAGGTGCAGATGGGGAGTGGATAGGGAGTAAGTGGGGCCTGCCTTTTAGGAAAAGACCTCCTGAGTAGGTAACTTGTGTGGGGATGGGACTATCTAGCAGAAAGCATGGGCTTGGTCAGCAGGTCACAGTACAATGTGATGCACACATGTTCCTGAGTAGGCAGGGGGTGGATCCTGAGGGCTAGAGGAAGGGGTGACCTTGGCCAGAATTGTGAGACAGCGGGCACAGTTGTAGGGAGCCCATGGCCTGGTGGTGGGGAGATGAGGGCCTGCCTCTTGATTGCATATTTTGTCACAGAAGTACAAGGCAATCTTATTTTGGTCTGATATATGAACAATTTGGTAATTGCTCCAATATCTGAGCTACCCAAATAAAATAGGAAGTGTATTTGACATATGAGCATGACCAACAGGGCTCACTAAAGCCATGCCACCCAGCCTAAAGAGGACCAGCCACAGACACAAATGTAGCCCCCATCCATAAAGCCAAAGGAAGCACATTTCTAGCAGTTTTAAATTTCCCATCTGGACCCACTTTTCAGTCTTCAAGGAAATATTTTGAAATCCATTTGCAGAACACCTTCACTTGCACAGAAAGCTCCACAATAATAACTGGCACAGAGCTCAGGCTCAGTAAGATTCTCCTTCTGTTCTTGACTTCCTTTGCTTTTTGAGACACAGTCTGACTGTGTCACCCAGGCTGGAGTGCAGCAGTGTGATCTTGGCTTACTGCAGTGTCAACCCCCCAGCCTCCAGAAATCCTCACACCTTAGCCTCCCGAGTAGCTGGGACTACATGCATGTGCCACCATGCCCAGCTAATTTTTGTATTTTTTGCAATAATGGGTTTTGCCATGTTGCCAAGGCTGGTCTTGAACTACTGAACTCAAGTGATCTGCCCGCCTCGGCCTCTCAAAGTGCTGAGATTACAGGTGTGAGCCACTGCACTTGGCCCTGTTCCTGACTTCCTGTTAACCCTCTGTTAATTAGATTTCCAAATGCATTGGCCTCTTCACCCTCACACCAATCTCATGCATTGCACAAAGGATAATGAAGACTTATCAGTTCATTTCCTCATTTATTCCGCTCCCATTTGATGAGTCTGTAGCATGCAGCTGGCACTGTGTGGATGCTGGGGATGCAGATTTATGACATAGCCTCTGACCTAGAAGAGTTCAGTATCTAGCTGGAAAGAAGGACCACATAGGTATAAGTGTGCCACACAAGTGATAAGGGCTAGATCCGAAGTATATCTAAAATATTTGGGGAGCTCTGATGTTAAAGTACCTATTCCTCCTTTAGGTGGGCATAAGGACGTCTTCCTATGTTGTTTAAGTTGCATTGTGAGGGGTAAATAGGATTTTGCTAAGCAGATGCGGTCTTAGAAGAGGATCACAGGAGATGCAGAAAGCAATCATGAAAGTGTGTGTGAGAGGGTCTAGGAGGAGTGGAGAGTGAGGGGGGAAGGGTGATGGGAAGGAAGTGCCTGTCGTGGTGGTTCACAATATGCACTGTGGAGCCAGACTGCCCACGTATGGATCTGCAGCTGATTTTGAACCAGTTATCTCACCTTTCCAGGCCTTTGTTTTTAAGTTTCCTTCTCTTTAAAATAATATTAACATTTCCTAGCTGTGGCAGAGACACTCTGCTTACCAAATGTGCTCTTCCAGATTTCTTAGTTTTTCTTATAGTTGGGTTAGGAAGGACCATGTGACTCGTTCTGGCCTTAATGGACTGTGTGTGGAGTGTCAACTCCAAGCTGAGC